TATGGTATTTATAGTATACTTAAAATTATGAAAATAGTTTCATTATTTAGGTTTACATTCGTAGGCACCAAAAATCAAGTTTCATTAACTTTGAATAATTAGTTTTGATGCTAAACTTTTTCAAAGTGCATCAGTCAAAATAATGTATTCCTATGGGAGGGTCTCATTTTTGGTATTTGTTGACGTGTAAATTTCGACTAAAATTTATTATGCTTATATAATAATAGAGATAATACAAATCCCCTACTCTTTTGAAATCATCACTATTTAATGTATTTAATGATATGCTATTCAGTGGCCAACAGTGACGGGTACCCCAACTGTGGCCACACAAAAATCGGTGATTAACCCGATTGGCGGCCTGTGTTCGGTCGGTTTGCATTTGATTCTCATTATCATTGAAGTTATGATATCTTTTCTAACCTATTGTCAAATAACTATTAGTGAATACCAATAACCAAATAATCACTTCAAACACAACTTTAGTAAAAATATTTTCATTTTAAAAATGAAATAATTTTTGATCAAATATTTTGGTGCAAATTTGTCAGAATAATTCCGACCGACAAACTTTGAAAAAATCCTGTTCATTAACTACTCATTTCATCTTGGATTCTAGTGCCTAAGAATGTTAACTTAAATTATCAGACCGATTTAAGAATTTTAGCTACACTATAAACTAGGTAGTATAATAGGTTGTCAGTTGAGCTAATAATATAGAACGCTTTCGTTACATACGATTGGCTATAATCTATGCACTTTTGATACGGCGAGTAATGGCCAGTCTTGCGATTCCAGGGGCCGTACAAGTCGTATGTCATCACGTTCATGTAGTCCAATGATCTAGCATCATTCATCCAGTCAAAAATTAGATTTATATTTATGAATATTGTGAAAACAATAAATAGTGCAGCCAATGCCGTTAATCTTACAAAATAAATGTTATAAATGATAAAAATTTGATAATTACAGTTTTTATATAAACTGATTATTAGCAATAATAGGTTCATTTATTTACTCTCTTTATTCTCTCTCTCTCTCTCTCTCTCTCCCTCAAAATCAATTCATGTAATTCATAAGATAATTAAAACATCAAATGTTAACAATTTGTTTATTTAAACAAAATTTTGTTTAATTAAAAATGAGGAAACTTTATATAAAGCATAGAATTATTTATGTTCGCAGCCATAAGTCTCGGGTCCCTGTCCTGTGCCATACAAACCATGGTTAATTGCCCGCAACATTGGATAGGCAACTGAGCAGCACTTGGGATGAAAATCATCCTGGGTGATTTCCCATACGATTATACCACCATAACCGTTGTCCTTAACCCATTTGCTCTTGCTAGATAATTGTACAATAAAATTAAAATAAAACCAAGTAATATTTGATCAAATAAATTCATTTAGATAAGTATAAACACGCTAAATTGAAGTTCATACATATATTGATATAATCAGTTATAAAACTGTTATAAAATCTGTTTTACTAAATTACCATAACCATCAAAGAAAATAATATGTAAATGGCGCTCAAGAAGGGGACGAAATAATTATTTTTTTAAACACAAACAAATATTACTTACTCGTAGGCGGCGTAGGGGTCGTCATAGCCCACCCACGTTAGGTCGTGGTATGAGATGGGGTCGTGTCCCTGATCCGGGTCCTCCTTAGCCCAACCCTGATGTTTGATCAAATCACACATCTCCTTATAATGTGCGTTATCGCCCTCGCCATGTGGTGTACGGCCCTCACCAGTGATGGGGGCGCCGATCGAGTGCTGGTTTCGGTCTTGCAGTTTGAATACGTGTCCATAGAATGGGACCCCCATTAGTACCTTCTCTTTGGGTATACCCTTTGACACGAACCGTTCGGTAGCGCTTATACATGATGACCCGTGTGGTGCTCGTAGGCACCGGCCTCGTCATAGGTCATAACGGCCACGTAGTCCAGGGCACTTTTTATAGACATTGTTGTAATTTTGTTTTATCATGATTAATTTGCAAAATTAATTTTTTTGGTAATATTACATACCTGGCCATAGCGTGATAGTCGTAGGCCTGATCGGCCACATCTCCATCAGCCTGTATGGCACAGGACAGGGATAGTCGGGGCGTTTCCTTATCAAATGCTGCGCGTAATTCCTGGATAATAATTAAACATTATATAAAAAGTTGTCAATTTATTTAATTTATTGAATGTATAATAATTAAAATTTTGATAAAATATTAGTGGTTATAAACTGTAATTTATCATCTAAATACCTATTTATTTATTAAACAAAGCTCAATATAGTTAAATTGGTGAGTTTGTTCGCACTGCAATTTTTAAGTTTTTTTTGTATTTTATACAACTAACCAGGTTTAAAAAGATAGCTTATAATTAAAATAAAGTTTAGCATGATTTAGCAGTAATAAATGTGAGGTTATAAACTTAACTTGATTATATTATAATTGGTTTCATTTACTAATGACTTTATGATATTTTAAAAAACATTAAATTTATTAGTTGTTCAAAACTGTAAACTCTTACTATTGTAATTATTTATATATAAAACAACTAATAAACATTTCAATGTTGGACGAAAATTTGATGGTTAATTATAATTTTATCCTAATTTATAATAAATTCAAATATTTTAAAACAATAAATTACCTATTTATTAATGTACCTACGAAAAATTGTATATTAGTATAGTAAGCTATCAAGTCCGCTTTTATAAATTAAATAAATGTGATTTTTAATCTATAAATAATCATTAATAATTATCATAATAAATTGTAAAATAATATCGGGAGAAATAAATTATTATTCTTTATTATTTATGCAACTATTATATCCAATATAAAATTTTAAAGTAAATTATATGTAACAACAAAACATACCGTGAGCAATTTGCCAAAATTGGGCTTGTCAGACTTGGGGCCTTTATTACAATCACCGCCCCAACAAACCGGGTACTCCCAGTCAATGTCCAGTCCGTCCCACTTATACTTATGGATATAAGCGATAGTGTTTTTAATGAACTGAGCCCTACGGCCCGCGTCATTCACGAGTCTAGAGTAGGGGGCGTCCGGTTGTCCGCCGCCGCCCAACGACGGTATAATCTTCAGCTCCGGGTTCTTCTTCTTGAGCTCCTGTAGCCGACGGTAAATGTCGGGCTGCGGGCCGTCACTGTCTTTTAACACGTTGTTTTGCTCGTCCATCACGTGAAACGCGTAGTGAAGGTGAGTACAAAGGGTTGGGTCAATGTTTTCAGGAGTATGCTTATTGTCCCCCGATTCATACAGGCGCCAATTGGGCCAATAGCAGATCACCTTAGGCTTGGCCGCGGCCAATAATGCTTGTCCGCATACGAGTGCGGTTAGCAATAGTAATTTCATTGTATTAATTTTTATATTTTTTG